CTACAAACCTTTACTCCAGAATTCTGACATTTTTCTTGTAAAAGTTACTTTTATGAACACTTTTTATACTTACCCCATAATTCCATTATTTGCTATTGGGATTCTAAACATCCTTCTTCCATCACCAATAATTCTCTATGCACCTTCTTCTACCGCGAATATCTTAGTAATCCTGCTACAACTCAATACGCATGCGACTTAGGTATACAATTATTGGTAAATTAACGGAAAATTAAAAAAGAAACCGGCATCAGATATTTCTTCGCTTGCCACTTAATTGTCGTATGACACTAAACTACAGCGATATACGAGTCTTCTAATAAACTAATTTTGAAACGTTAAAAAACATATTATTATTCTGCTTACTGGGTTATAAACCTTATAATATAGTTAGTATTATGTAAATCTCGTGTAAATGTTTTTCTGATAAAATTGTTTTTTTATTTTAGAAAGAGAAATAATAATAAAAAATAAAAAAATGTTTCCAACAAACGGTTTGAAAACGTGTGAAACCTAATCAAAGGTCTTAAACAATTTTTTCTACGTATTTAATGAAGTCAATTCGTTTTCAGTAGTTAAAAAAAAAAAGAAACCGTCGATACGATTAGCGAATTCATTTTTTACCGGAAATTCTCATAAACCGAACATAAAAAAATGTTCATTCATATTTAATAGCTATATACGGCGGTCGCTATTGAATATGAAAAAGTAGTACACGAATTTTGTCTGTCTGGTGGAACAAGTCGATTAATAAAAAACGGTAAACGTCAGTGATCGATGTGCGGTCGTTATTTGGGGTGTAAGCTCATTCGTCTTATGAAATTTAATTCACACGAAGGACACTGCACCGGTTCTCTAAACTTGTGACGTTGTACTTCCATTTCCGTGCTTGGTTTCCGTCTCCCAACCTATATTTTCCTCTCTCTCTCTCTCTCACCCACCCTACCCGCTAACGGCTAATCCCCGATCACAAGCTTTAATATGCCAAACGTCGTCTTTACATTCTGTAATAAACTAATATAAGTCAAGGATGATATAATGACTTCCACGTGCAAAACTTTCGAGTGAATACTACACTCGAATTGCACACATAAAGGTGCAATTCGATTTTGAATAAATAACATTATAATGATATATAATATAACCTGGATGTGTACATTGTTCGTATCGAATTTTTTAAAAAACTTTCTAAAGGCTGCGACTCTTTTGTTTGATTTTATATAATCTTCAAAGTTCTATAAAATTCTATTTTACTACAAAATATTAGCTTAACATGTATAATATTTAAATTAATATACAGGTTGCTATAAGGTAGATTCCAAAATCGCCCCTCTCTCAATCCTCTTACCGAAGGGGGGGGGGGAATTACAATTACCTTAAAATATTATTATATTCAATAAAATGTTTTTCAGTTTTTACAATATATTTCTCAAAATAATATTAAGGAATACACTATGCACAATAATATTACATAGCATACATTTCCATAGGGATAAACGGCTGTTGATAATCAATAGATTATTTAATTCATTTGTATAACTGCTAAAGATTTAATAATTATAATACATCATGTAATCATATATTTGCTTGTATATTTTTTAATTTTTTAATTTTTCCATTACACATTGATAGATACAAATTAGACCTTTCCATTACTTTATCGCCTTATATTGTGTTAATAACATAAAAAGTTTATAATCAAACCTAAAATCAAATAAATATATTATGACATTATAAGTTACCTGAAAACACTATTGGTTTAGTTTTCCTCGAAAACACCTTTGGTCCAAAACCGAATGTGGGAAATATTGTTATTTCCTTTTGGGTTTTTATCAATCTACAGCCGTTTTGGCTCAGCTCGCGGTACGGTGTAATAATTTATAATATCATATAATAATATACAATATTATACGCGTTTATATCCGACTAAGTTTTCCTATACCTATTCAAAGTAATGTATAAATCTTAGCCGTTGTGTCCCGAAGGGGACCTCGGCCGTAAAGGGGTGAGTTATGTGTTTGGGTTTAGGGCGCGACAAATCCTGAAATATACACCCTCGTGCCTGCCCAACCGGTGTCGCCGTATAGCAGGTGATCCCGATTTGTGAGTTTCACGGGTGGCTATCATCTATATTTATTTATGTATAATATAAATATCTGAAAAACACATTGTACGGCTGATAGGTACGAGTGCCGTGCAAAACGAACATTGCAATATATAACGTGGCTATAGCACAATACTATACCTACCGCCCAAAGGGATTTTAAGGTATATAGAAAGGAGAATAACAGACTCGAAGAAACGGAAACAGCTATTTGGGATAAAGAAAATTGCAACTGTTGATATAGTTGTAATCGTTTGGTATTTTTTTATTATTTTTCGATTGTCTTTACGCTGTCTTTTAATCCCCCCAATTATTTTGTTACAATATTACTGTAGTACGATTTTTTATGGTATTTATTTTCAACAACCAAAAGCCTTCTGACGTTTATTCCGGTCTCCGGAACGGCGGCAAAATTGAACATTCTATATTGCTAATAAACACAGAAGTCAATGTAAGAGGATGAATCGTGTCAAATCGTTATTGCCCGAGAGACCTTTGGGGGGAAGTCGTTGTTTTCGAATGGCAATTAAAGAACGTCCGCTTCGTTGCTAAGAGGCTTTCCATGCTCGATCGATGTGCGATCAATTAAATTCAGAGTAAACTCGTACTTACTTTGAAAAACCCTTGACACATAATTGACACGTGCCGTGACCATACGGGCTGTTATATAACCTACAGAATTACACTTAAAGAAGTCGTCATTATCGCCGAACTCAGTAAAACGCCGGTGCATTTATTGTACTTCATCCGCCTAGTGCTGACCGGACAGTTTGATCTCAATAGAAGCATCACTGTAGAAGTGTTATTTTTGTGTAGTAGAGTAATTTAAAGTTTGAATCCGTTTAAAATATGTCATTATGGTCGTTTCGAGTTTGTGGGTTTATTTGCTATACACATGTACACTCACATACATAGTATAGAATAATGCATTAGAAAGAGTCTGAACGAAACAAATTCCGGTTCATGGCAAAAACGCATAAAATCCAATACAAAATCTCTAGCAAGAGTGGATTTAACCGTAAGGCATAATATAATATATAATTTATTAGAGCTGAAAGTATTATAGTTTAAACCAACCGAATTGGTTACCGATTTACTCAGAGTGTATCGGTTATACTTGTTTTTGTCTTGACAGATACATTTTTACATAAAAAAACCCGACTTATAAACACAGTTGTTGAAATAAATAATAGTATATACTCTGAAAATTTACATTTATTCCACGGAGAACCATAGATTTCGGTCTTTGTAAAAAATTGTATTGTGTTTTATTTTTGATATACCTAATAATATTTAAAGATACAGCGCCGGATTGAGGTATGCAAAATTTATGTACAAATTGACAAATTATATTAGGGTTAAGTGGAATAAAAAAAATGCGTTTGTTCACAGAAGTGGAAGACTGTTCTGGCTAATAAGGCAAACTTACAGTAAAAACAATAGGTAGAACCAAACCCTTCTAGTGATTACAATCAAATAATCTCACCTCCGTATCGTTGGTCGATAAAAAAAACACAATGGGCCAATTACAATAAAAATGTTTGTAATTACTATACTCTATTATACGCATTATCTCAAAGGAGACAAATTAAATGATTCCCAAAAGTTGTTCATTATATTATTATTAGTTTTCTTTTACATAGTCTGTTACTCTTTATAGAGATAGAGAGACAAATATTCGGAGTATTTTATTACGAAGTAAATCTTTTTAGCTTCGATTCGGAGAAAAACAATATTGTTTCTAAGCCATTGCCAGTTTTTCAATTTATTTTTTTCATACAATAAACATACAAATTAAATTCCATTTAATATCCAATATATTAACTCTATTAACCGTTCATCGTCTCTTCCTCGAAGCTTTAATAAAAGCAAAATAAAAAACTTGTCGGGTTTTATGACAATACGTAAACAACATGAAGACACCGAAGATGAAAATAATCACAATTTTATTAATATCATCAAATCTGGGGCTCATTAAAGAAGTACTGTTTTTTTTTATAAATTTTAACACAAAAACGTTTTAAGTATTATGTAAATATGCAATTAAAATATTATACTATACTCAATGCCTATTAATAATTACAATTTGATAAAGCTTTGAAAGACATAATTGAGTTTTAAGACAGAATGTATGATAACCTTATACATTAACATTAAATTAAAAAGTATTAAAGTATGTAATTATACTAATAATTTATAATCGCAGTTTTTTTTATATTGCACGGTACGTTTGAAATATTTTTTTCCCCTTGAAACAGGCTTACAAGTTTTTATACAATAATAAATCAGAATTTCACCTAGTAAGCAACATTTTTTTATTCAACATTGCGACGAACCAAATGTTATACACTGTAAAATTAATTATTTTTGTTTATACATTTTTAACAATTGTATAATATGTATTCAATTAAAATTAAAAATAATTAAAAATGTTAAATGTATTGTACCATTTTATAAAAAAAAATATACTTAAGTTTTAACAAGATTAATTTTTAAAATTCCCAAAAACTGTTATGCCCTTATGAGTAATATTTATATGGATAACTGATCAATGTTGTACATAAAAAATAACAATATATTTATCCGCACAAAATAACAATAAACGATTTTTATTATAATATAACATATATAAAACATGTTGATTTGAGTATGTCTTTAATCGGCTGTTTATAATTTAAAATATAGCCATTCTACAATAGATACTACTAAATCAATAGTGTTTTCAGGTAACTTATAATGTCATAATTTATTGATTTGATTTTAAGTTTGATTATAAACTTTTTTTATTATAACCACAATAAAAGGCGATAAGGTAATGGAAAGGACTAATTTGTATCTATCAAAGTGTAAATATTTGATTACATGATGTATTATATTTATTAAATCTTTAGCAGTTATACAAATGTATTAAATAATCTATTGATTATTAACAACCGTTTATCCCTATGGAAATGTATGTATGTATATTGTAACATAAATAATCCCAATTATCCAGTTAATAACATATATTACACATTTAAATTCACTTTTTTACAAAATCTTTGTACAATAATTATTATCATGTTACTATCAATATACGAAGCGTGCGTCGTGTGTATTATCTCATAGGATAATTATCTATTCTCCTTGACACTTTAATAAATCCAATATTCTCTTGAATTCATTGTAGAATTCAGTAGGTGGAGTCCCAGGTGAAACCAAGGATAGAACGCTATTATGGCAGAGGCTCACATTATCAGCAAAATCAACAACACCGTTGTCTGGAAAAATTTAATTGTTTCTCAATAAAAATATCCACTACAATATTGTTCTTAAGTACTTACCATTTGCACGAAAACGTGTATGTATAGTTGCCATCTAGAAGAAACACAGTATATTATAATATAATGTCTTATGACAAAATGTGTATTAATTATTCGATAAGATTTAATTTATAAAATTATAAAATACGAATATATAGAAGTACTAAAATAATAAATAAAATATTAAAAGTTCAATTCTCTAAGAGGTTGAAAAACATGATATCATACTACATAGGTAAAACACTTTCTAAAATGTATTAATTAATAATTGATAGTTAGAGAGAATACAATTTGAAAAATTACTTTTTATTTTATCTTAGACCATGTAAAATGATTATTGTTGCTAATTTTTCAAGAATAAAATTTGAATTCATGATGTAGTATGATCAATCATACTGATAAAGTAAAAGTTATATTAAAATTATAAATACTAACCATTAGCGTAGCCCCCAACATTTTTAGTATTTCGCAGTACTTTGTCCATTCAATTGTTGATATTTCTGTAAATAGTTTTTAGATAATTAACAAACAAAATACAATAGATATTTAAGTTTCTTACTACCGTTTTGACCGAAAAGTTTGAGTACTTCTAAAACTTCTTTCTCGTCTGAGAACACATTTTTAAAAAGAATCGCTATTGTGTACACAACTTCCTGCGTTGAAAGTTGGCTATTTTTTTTGCCGAAGTATTCAATATCCAGTTCACTTTTTCCCTAAATAAATATAATAATAATATACACATACATTTTGTAGTTTTTTTTTTAGACACATTTGTTATTGTTATTTTACAATATTAGATCACGTTCAAATTTGTATTCTTCCTGGTTGTTAAAAACTTAAACGATGCCTTATTAACTTATTTAATTGGGAATAATTTGCTGAAAATTTTGGCTGGTCACCAATAAGTTTTGGATAGCTACTTTTCTTTTCTTCTCTTAAGTTACTACATAAAAAATTACTTAAGATTTTATCTAAAGTTGGTAAGTTTTCTGGAAAATTGTGAAACTTGGGTATCTTATAACATTAAATAGTAATGTAATATACATTTTTTTCAATAAAAAAACTTCAAATTTCAAAAAATAGAAAAAGTAAACAAACCTTTGATAAAACAAATATTATCGGTTTCATTTGTATCAATTGTTCCAATTCTAATTCATTGCTTTCTGAAAATAATTAATGGCATTTGTAGAATGATTTTTTTGAAGAACATTGTTTTTTTTTTATTACCTTCCAATTTAATTAAATAAAAGTATGTCTCTGCTTGGCGAATGGTGAGGAATCCTTGGAACTCGTTGAATACTAGTATCTGAAATTCCGATGTGGAGATAAAACCGTCATTATCGTTGTCGTAGCGTTTAAAAATCTCTTGCCATTGCTCGTATGTCAAATTGTCCACATTTGGTTTTGTATTCTAGAATATTATGTGCAATTCATTTTATGATTATGGTTTCATCATGAAAGGGAATAAGTCTAGTTGAAAAGTTAAAAGTTTTAATAACATCTGAAAAATGTGAAAACATTTTTTTTTGTCATTTTTTGAAACTTCTTATATTTTTAGGTACTTATTTTAGAAAATCGTATGACGTGTAAAACAATTTTGGGAAACACAAATATCAAGTTTCTGCAAATTATTACAAACGTTAAAAAAAATTGATAAATGCATTTAGTACTTGGTGTTTACATTAAAAACATTAAACAAATAATACTGTTTTTCAAAAATTTGATGTGTTTATTTTGTGCTTTCGTTAGACACTCATACCTATACAGCGCGTTCCACCAAGATAGACAAATGAAATAACCTTTGTTCCAGTGTATATTTTTAGGATTTTTTTTTTTTAACTAATTTATTATCATTTGCGCTATAAGCACTACGTTTTTTTATTGCACTTGACTATTTTACTTCTTAAAATTTGTTTGTTACATTTAAAATTTTTTTTTCAAGAAAGCCATTTCATTCCTATAAAAAAAAATTGGTGAACAATATTTGTATTTTTATTTATGCATTAAATGTTTTATGAATAGTAAAGTAATACAAATTTGAAAATTCTACTCCACGTTTAAAGGTGGTATCACAGCTACGTCGTCTGTCGTGTCGTGCGATTTAAGAATTGGGCGAGGTTACTAATCAGTGGTGATTGTGGTTAACTGATCAGTGAATGCCATACAGTACCCGTGAAATAAATTTTAATTTGATAAAATAATTACTCATAAATATACCGAATAAGGCCCATTTATGACAAACTGGCATTTAATGCGGATTGTTTTAGTAATAAGTATGATATAAGGCACACGACACGACAGACGACGTGCTGTGATATCGCCTTTAAACGTGGAGACAAATGTTCAAATTTTCATTAGTTCAATTTCATATAACTTTTTAACGGATGAATAAAAAATACGATTTTATTTCACTAATTCTTTTTTAAAGATCATTCTGATTAATATAGCTATCTCGAAAAAAAAAATACATCAGAAAAAATAACTTAAAAGTAAAATCGTTAAGTGCAATAAAAAAACGTGGTGCTTATAGCGCTAATGAGTATAAATTAATTAAAAGAAAAAAATCTTAAAAATATTCAGTGGAACATAAGTTATTTAATTTGTCTTATCTTTGTGGGACACCTCGTAGATAAAATATGAAATACATTTGAAAAACATAAATTAATTTAACAAATAATATAAAAATACTTTTATGAATTTATATTTATATTTTATTTTTTACACAAATTTGTTATTAGTGGTGAAAATAAAATCAAATGTTGTACACCTAACTTACAAAAAAAGTGCATCATTCAATGTAATATTATTCGAATAATTTTAGGACCTTTTTTCAAATTATTCCAAACATAATTATTCGAATAATTTCAAATTCAATTAATCGAAAAAGAATTTGCACCACTCTGCTTACAATGTTATCCATACAATAATCTTAACAATTCCTATCGAATATATGTGACCGTCTATATTTTATTGCAATAAGTTTTTATGTTATTTTGGCCATGTATACTATAAGCTTTTAAATGTTTCTGAAATTTAGATACATACTACTACACCAGAAGTACCACTCGTAGAAGCTGCATCCACTGTATCGGATATATTTTCGTTGCCTGCGGTATTACTTTTCTCTATAATACCCACGACACACAAAACCAGTATAATATTTGTTGAAAACATTATGTTACAATTCAAAATATGTACGTCGCGTTTATAAGACCTGCTAGTAAATGAAAATGTTCTTACTGCTATAGAAGTTTAAACAGATATGTTATCGACGCGTTAGTCTGAATTGTAAATTTATTTTGCTCTATTAAAACAAAATTTGTTTAGTGCTTTAGTTGTTGTTGTGATTATGCTTATTTGTATAAATGTTTTAAATACGATAATATTTCACTGAATGACAATTTATTGTTTGCTCTATATACAGAGAGATCCATCTGATATAAGACACTCTGACTTTCTGTCTATATAGTTATGATGTTCAAAACATAGATTGCTATTTGAAAAATCAAGTCCCTGTGTTTTTTGACGTTTAAGGGATGAAATTAAACATTTTCTAAGTACTGAAAAACATAGTAAATAATCCACCTGTAAGTATGAGAAAAAAGTAATTTCCAAAATATTGATATTTTCCCAGAAAATGAGTGTCTTACATCAGACGGCTCACTCTGTATGTATGTCGATTAACTACTATACGTTTTTGTAACATTGTGCATATGGTTTTTTTTTCAAGTTTCTGCGACTACTTTTTGCGTTTCGATGAAAAAAACAAAACCGTTGTAAAACAAACACCATTCATTAAAACACGTGTACCTTTTGATGTATTACTAAAACCTGTTATGCGCCTTAATAAATGCTAGTGTAGCGGCCCCTTAAAGGTTTATTATATATTTTCATAAAAACAGCTCATCGCTTCGCATCATAAATGGTTGTTATCCTTTTACTTCTAATCAAATTTCACCAAGACAAAGATTGTTTTTGTGTTTCTTATTTTACTACAAGTAACCCCCTTTAAATATCAATTACATGGATTTTGTTCATAATTTTTACATGTATAATAACTATTTTAGATGTTTTAAGTAAGGTTTTTGGTATAATTTCGCACATCGGCGCACGTGTTTCAAAAGTAAAACCGAGATAAAATACAATTTGTTTACTTTAGAAAAACACTGAAGTGATATTTTAATGTGCGTTCCCTTTTCTACTGTTTACATAAATGAAAATATAGCAATCGTTTATGTACAATTTTTTTACACGTTTTAAAGACTGTAAACATTATTTAGATACCCGCATTGAGCTTGCGTGTTACGATAATATGTACTTAACTTTGTCAAATACAGGGGCTTTAGAATTTCACGGCCATAAGTCAGGTGTTATTGACGATTTTCTAAAACTATAGAAAAACGACCTACGTGAATAATTTTTCGTTTTTATCGTATACAATAATATTTTAAGGTAATTGTAATTTCCCCCCCCCCTCTTCGGTAAGAGGATTGAGAGAGGGGCGATTTTGGAATCTACCTTATAGCAACCTGTATATTAATTTAAATATTATACATGTTAAGCTAATATTTTGTAGTAAAATAGAATTTTATAGAACTTTGAAGATTATATAAAATCAAACAAAGGAGTCGCAGCCTTTAGAAAGTTTTTTAAAAAATTCGATACGAACAATGTACACATCCAGGTTATATTATATATCATTATAATGTTATTCATTCAAAATCGAATTGCACCGTTATGAATACCACACTCGAAAATCTTGCACGTGGAACTCATTATGTCATTTGTGACTTATATTATTTTATTACCGCATGTATAGATGACGTTTGGCATATTAAAGCTTGTGATCAAGGATTAGCCGTTAGCGGGTAGGGTAGGTGAGAGAGAGAGAGAGGAAAATATAGGTTGGGAGACGGAAACCAAGCACAGAAATAGAAGTACAACGTCACAAGTTTAGAGAACCGGTGCAGTGTCTTTCATGTGAATTCAATATCACAAGACGAATGAGCTTACATCCCAAATAACGACCTCGCATAGATCACTGACGTTTACCGTTTTTTATTAATCGACTTGTTCCACCAGACAGACAAAATTCGTACACTACTTTTTCATATTCAATAGCGACCGCCGTACACAGGTATTAAATATGAATGACAATTTTTTTATGTTCGGTTTATGAGCATTTCTGGTAAAAAATGAATTCACTAACCGCATCGACGGTTTGTTTTTTAAAACTGAAAACTAACTGACTTCACAAAATACATAGAAAAAATTGTATAAAACCTTTGATTTGGTTTCACAAATTTTCAAACCGTTTGTTTGGGAACATTTGGCCAGTAGGTAAAATTATACCGTTCTACAAATATTATTTACAAAGGTTGTTAAAATTTTTAGTCTTATTAAACTATGTATAACAAGTGAAATGTTTCTGTAATATTTTGATAACATTTGATTACAAGCCAAATAGTATTTGTTAATTTTCTGATAACACTATGAAAAAATATTTTGTTTTCTGCTGGCTGGGAAAACGGCTGTAATTCAATAATATGTTATATGACAATACAATAATGTAATAAGCTAGTTAAATTCGATAGATATCTTCATCAAATTAAGCTGTGTTAAATTTTAAAAAACATGCGCATAATTTTAATACATTTTTTATTGAACTATTGTGAGCTATTTTCTTTTGCTCTACCAAAATCTGTTTTTATATTGTGTTTGATATATGAACTTAAAAAATGTAGTCATTTATTTGTGAAGTTTATGAATAACTTAATAGTTGTACGGTAACGTTATTCTATTTTATGAATTCCTGAAAACGACAGAATACATTTTTAATCTGTTATTTTGTTATTCAAATACTAAAATTATGAAAATATAACTATTAAAAATGATTATATTTTATCTAGACATAATTTTAAATTGAAATCTTTCATTTAATTATTTCTGAGGGTGATCATTTTTTTTTTCAACATTATTAAACTTGCGGTTCTTAACGATTGGCATACATACAAAAATGATTTAGTTAGTATAATATTGTATTACATATTGGTATCGTATTTCAGTACAGATAATTATTCATATCAATATAACCAATATTATAATAAAACATAAAGGTTTTTTTTTAAATAGTTGTTTTTTTAAAAAAAATTACGATTTTTATTACTTAAAAAATATGTTCACTAAACGCGTTTCATTGTCATACAAACTACATACAGGAACTATTCATAAGAATTATTCATTTTCTAAACTGTGTCAGTAGATTTAATTGGGTATTTTCTTTTGTTCGCTAATTGCTCCATTGTATTCATTTAAACGTGTGAAATGGTAAAAAAGCAAAACACATAATAAAATACTATGCTCTAGACTTGCATTGGTGTTTGTTTTTTTTTTTTTTTAAGGTCGGTACTCATTTTTTTTTTTAATAATAATTGTTTTCACACTTATGTACAGCTATATAAATGGTACAATGGGAATGTAGGTTTTATTTACCTAATGTAACCTTGATATGTGAGCCATCATATTATCTATTAAAGACTATTAAAAAAAAAACTGATATGTGTAAATTAGTTTTTACCATATTTTCAATTTCAATAAAATATAACATATATAAAATATATATGTCGATACTAAACAAGTAAGTATACAATCAAATTAGAACAGAGTTTTAACTATTTTACAAAGATACAATTTATAAGCGTAAGTAGATTATAAACACATTTTTGTAGTTTCGCTGTCTTTCTCTTGAACGATTCATACCAAGACGTTCATTTATGAAATCTGTCTTATCATACATTTGGGCTGTCCTTCTTAATCTATTCGGGTGTTCCTTAAAGCTCTATTTGATTGATCTTCCTAACTTCTCCATAATGTCATACTTTTTCAGGATGTGTTTATAGTGTATGGGTAATAATGATGAAATCTGTAAATTGTTTAAAAATCTTTGATGTTATAATTAGCGTATTGAACAAATTGTCGAGGCAAAAATAAAGTACATTAATTAATTTATCATAAAACAAAATAAAGCAATTAACACTAACTGACATTCATAAAAACATCCCGTTTTTTTTTTTAATTTAACTTGATTTTTTAATTTAAACTAGTTTTAGTTTATGCTATCTAATAAAGTTTAGTTGTCTAATAAAGATTACAAAAGTGGTCTTTAAACATTAATTAATATTGCATATAAAGATAAAACAGTATAATTTAATTCTAATTTTTTAATGAATCTAAAGCGATTATACGATGTTTGAAAATATCATTCAAATACCAAAAAAGTGTCAGTAATATCAGTTCATAAATGTCCTAGTGTAATGTGTAGGTTGACAATTTGGCTTATGAATGAGTGTACCTATAAACTTCAGTTTTGAGTAAAATACACACAATTTGGTATTACTATTATTTTTTTATTTTTTTAAGAACCAAAACTGTATACCTAAACAGTGTCTCGATTGAGGGTATTTTTTATCATAATATTGCAAGTTTTTTTTTTAAATTTTTTGTCGACGCACCCTCAAAGAAACATGATTGATATATTAGATATTATATGCATATTATACCGTATTTGCTGTGCGGTATTGCACGCCCCGAGTAAAAAAGATCGCTTTGTGATAGGAGGACGTTTTGTATCCTACACTACCTATAAACGTTATGTCTCGTTTTAAGACGGATAATCCATGTCTCCGGTGGACTAGAACCGCTCTGTCTTGAAGGCGGGGGCGGTAAGAGCGCGCAGACAAATATGTGCGGCCGTGCAATGATAATAACAATATGTAATCGATAGGTTGTCAAAGGTGAAAAAAAAATTGTAAATATGTATATTTTTTTAAACATGCGCCGCGCTTTCTAACCGATAACCATCGCGAACGGCCATTGCAACGTGTCCGAAGTATGTTAATCGCAGTCGGTCGTGTCGCGCATATTTTCCACTGTACGTACCGCATTGACTTACAAGCACTGTAAGTGAACCGATTGCTAAATGTTGTACATTTATTTTTATTAAATCAAAAAATTATCTATAGCGTATGATCCGTATTCCACGTTTAGGAATCATACGACGTTCAATAATAATATGTTATATAATTAAGTAATTCAATATATATAAATATTATTCAAGTATATACCGTATATAACCGTGTATATTATATACGGTTGCTTACACTAAATGCTACCCAGTTTTCCTGTTACCATTGCATAAGCTAACAGCAGTGACAATTCATAGTTACATAATATTATAGTATCTAAGTATATACTGTCTAG